CCAATCAGGAATACAGGATACGGGGAGCTCTGGTGGGACTCCTGACGGCACACCAACAAAACGCGCAAGACGTTCGTTGTCGACGCATTTCTCGTCCCCGACCAATCTCTTCTCGAGAACGGGAAGCTTGCGGCGATCGAAACGTGGAGCGGAGCCAAGAGATGGGACTAGGCGTCATGTCTCTGCACCGATTTCTTCCTTGCAGAAAGCAAATCAGGACAGCCTCGCTAGCCCTGCAAGTCTTGCAGGAGACGCATTGACACTGCATAATCAGCAACAACGCACTAATTCTGAGCAATCCACATCCGCTTTGCACATGGCACGCCAGCGAAATTCATCCTCCCCGCTTCCCCCATTGTCTCGTCTCTCGAGTTTCAACGTCGACCTCACGAGGCTAGGGTCGTCAGCGACTGTGCCGCAGCCCCGGTCAAATCAGCCATCCGGCAGCTCACAGAGCTCGGCAGCCATGGCCTCTTACAAGAACGCGAGGCACGAACGAAGCTCCACGCTGAATAGCTCCGACTACGAGGTGCGGGGCTTTGGTTCCGGCGATGATGAAGACACAGATTTCAGGAGCGACACCATGTTTGACTCAATACGGACGTTGGCATCGGTACGCAACCGAGCCGTCGAGAGCCCACTTGAGTCCATGTTCGACGAGTCCCCCCCCAGCACCGCTGGCAATGGGAAGACGAAGCGGCTGTCCATCCAAGAGATACTCGGGCGTGGCTGGGATGCTGACGAGATGATTATGGAAGAGGACGAAAACATGTCAACGCCGGTTCGGGCTAGCCATGACCGCAAGAACCTCGCAGGCATCGCTCCCGCACCGACTGGATACAGCTACGAGCGTCCCTCGAACGACTATTCCCTGTCCAACAAAGACCTATCACGACTCTCCCTAGAAGACGATTTTGAAGACGACTGGGCCAGGGACGACGACGAAATGGGGTTCGGCAACCAACTATCACCACCCAGCTCGATGAACTCGAGAGGTGTCAGCCCCAACCTGCGACTAGCATTAGCCAGCATCAGCGGCAAAGATGTCGCGGATGTGGCGCAAGACTTGCGCGGCGAGAGGCCTCGCAGCAACCTTTTTGACTGGACGGAGACGAATCCGGGCGAGCATAGTGCAGAGGGCCAGCTCCGCCCTAAGACAGTTCACGGCCGCCAAGAAATGGACATGAGAGGTGGTCGTCCTTCCAACCGCAAGGGACCTGTTGTTGCGCACGTCAGAAGCCAAAGTGTCCCCGTTGTATACGACCCAACGGACAATGCCAAAGCTGCGACGCAGAAATTCGGCACATGGGGACTCGGCACCAAGGGTGCCAGCGAAGATTGGGATGACGATTTCGAGTTTGGCGGCAGTGATGAGGGCGGAGGTGTCCACTCTGGTGGGGATCTATCCATGATGGTTCCAGCATCGATTCAAGCATCGCAACCCAGCCTGAAGCAACACTCTGGTCAGATTAGGGAGCTTTCTCTCCTTGTGAACGATCTCAAGCGCCTCTGCCGACATGGACGTGATCTCGATCTACTCGACGGCACCCATGCGGCGCTGTGGCACGAGGCAGGAGGCATAATTTCCCTGGCCTCACCGGACGAGGACGAGTTGGAAGGCATGGACGTTGATTCTTCGGATCTGGATTTCGAGCCTTACAGCGTCAACGAGCGTTTGGCAGACAACAACAATATGGACACGGAGCCTGCAAAGAAGCCGGATGATCCCTTCGAGGCACACGACCTGCGCCTAGCCAAGACCACTGTCATCCGGGAACGCCCTGCAGGACGAAGGCGATCAGTCTTCAGCCCTGACGATGACATATTTGGAGGCAATGGATCAATCACTGATGCCAGCGCCGCATCCTCCCGACCGAAGACGCCTGAGAACAACATAAATATGGGGGGCCACGACGTTACCGACATTGTCAAGTCGGTGCTGGACGCCATGCAGCAACGGTCTGCGTCGGACTCGTCTCACAACTCCGCGAGGGCTTCGGAAGACAAGGTTCACTTTGGCACAAACAATCTGAAGGCATTGGTCAAGCGGGCAGGAGATTTGCGAGACTTGCTCTCCGAGGCTGTCCGCCGTGTCGACCAGATCACCTCCAGTCCCATGAGGACCCCTCGTCGTCATGAGCGCGAAAGCCCTGCCTTTACCCGGGTCTTTACACCTGAACCGCCATCATCCAGTCCGCCCAAGCGTCTGCCCCATAGTCAAAGTACGAATTCAGTACTGAGCCGCGGCTCTCACGAGGCCTCACCATCGACTGGTCTCAACCAACGAATGCAGATGATGACTGTCAGTTGAGAGGGAGCACACAAATAGTTTTCGGCCACTACGTGTCTAGAAACATGGCGTCTCCCTTATCTGATGTAACTGTACGACACTTCTCTTTTCCCTTGCCTGCATAGCGACGGTCAGGATTTTCTTCTCTTTTTTCTTTTTGTTTTTATTCATACGACATGCACATAAAAGACAGCTTGGCCATGGCCTGCGTCATACGAGTCAACGCAACGAAGGGGTGAGGCGTGGGCAAAGTAGGCTGGCAATGAAAGCACGCGCTATGTAATGCTCGGCCAGCCCACTCTGCCAGGGCAGTTTGGATAGCTTGGCTATCCGTCGGCGATCATGAGATTTAATTATAGGACGGATACAAAGGTTCGACCCGCTATGAGCCACGTCCTGAAGGGTGGATGAATGGCTTGGAGGTCGGGATACGAGACCGTGGTGGAAGGCGGGAAGGGCGGGACTATCAGGGAAATCGGAAGAGAAAACTCCCAGTACAAGGACCTGGGCATGACCTCGAGGATGACGACTGCACAGCATTCAAGATGCATTCGGAATTACGGGATTTGGGACAAAACTCGCATACAAACGGCGGCACGCAAGGCATTATAGCAATGACGAGAAAGAGTAAATAAGATCAATCATGCGCCAGTATTCACACGTCTCATGCCAGACTTACCCAATTCGCAGTCTGTGTGTCGTGTACGACTAGGCCTGTGCGTTACGCCACGTCGAGAGGCGAATTCTTAATACTGATGCTTCCGTGTCCGTTGTAAGAAGACCGAACGTCTGTAGCAGACCTCCAGATGATAAGCAGCGGTTGGCAGATGCACGCCAGTATCTCCACATAGACGCTGAAGCCGGAATCCCTCGGCGAGCAGGTAAACAGAATCTTACTGGCATCCACCCTCACCATATACATTTCCAAGCCATCGAGTCAAGTCCTCAATGGGCGACGGGGTTCACATATTGGCAAGTTAGCCAATCCCTTGTTTTCGTCAGGTCCCTGCTTCAAGAGTACAGTAGCAGGCACGATAAATCGTTGATATTGGCTATATAGTGCAACAGTGTATATGTATTCTGGGAAGTTGTTGTACATTGGTGCGATGTGAGAAGGTAAGGAAACGAAACAACAAAAAAAGGGACAAGAGAGTGAGCGGCAGGTTCAGGGCCTGCATGTTCACTCTTGCAACAACGAGGGTATTGATTGGAGGATTAGAGAGAGAGAGAGAGGGAATAGGAAAGAAAAATGTCGCTGGGACAGTGAAGAATATGGGCAAGTCACCCCTGAAGGCAGAAAAGTTGGTTTCTTGAGTGTGATATCTTCTTCAGAGGCGAAGCCAGTCCCGACCTTGGCCGCGGAGGTCAAGGCTTTCGGGCCGAGACGCATCCTCAGCAGTCCAGAGGGTGTGGCCGAAGAAGTTTACAAGGCCAACAGTTGCTGGATCAGCGCCGGCTTCGATGGCGGCAATCTGGTGACGGATTTCAGCTCTGCGGCTTTTAGGGATGAGGGCGCGAACGCGTTTCCGACGCAAACGCTGAGACTCGATGTCGTCCAGTCTGTTCTCAATGGAAGGTGCCATGTCGAGCTTCTGGTTTGTGGGCATGGCACGGGTCCACAAGAAACCTTGTGTATCAGCCTTCGAGGAAGGCTGGAGCCAGAGGGATGTTGTTGGGAGAAGCGGTTCAGACTGAATTGATTCCTCGACCCTCCCACTCTGAGTCGTCCCACCTGTATGTGTACCAGATGTCAAGGCATCCGTAAGAGCCATGTCCCATTCTGCAGCGGTGGTCTCAGGGCGGCGAGGGCGGCTTGCGTGGATGGTCTGATCAGAGGAATCATCTCCATGTGCTAGTGTTGCGGCTGCTTGAGGTTGCTGGTGTTGGCGTGTCTGTCCAGCAACGACAGCAAAGAGGAGCTCAGTGTCCCAGTCAGCGCTCGTGGTCTTGGTACTTCGGCGTAAGCGAGTCTCTGGAGGCTCAACTTTGTCGGAGACTTCGGCGAGCGTCGGTGTCTTGATGTCCGGGGAGAGCTCAAGTGTACCGTGATCGTCTGCACTTGCTTCAAGCGCCGTCGGTTGCTCAGGCGCTTGAAAACCGGGGAAGCCGTCTTTCAGCAGACTGCTACTAGTGATGCTGCTGGAGTCCATGGATGAGGATAGCCCGATCGATTCCGTGGGTGACACGGATTCGGAGGCAATGCTACTACGACGTGATGGAGAGTACTGGCCTCGAGACTCTTTGCTAGCAAAGGACAACCAGTTGTACTCGTCAGACGCGTCGCTTTCTTGCTTCCAGAGCGTTGAGGAGCTCAACTTCGCAAGAGGCTCTTCGTTGACACGGGCTTTGTGGGGTGTTTCTAGAGCAGCGGGCGCAGCTGAGGTCGTGCGAAAGCTGGTTCGAAGCTGGCCAGACTGATAAAGTCCAATGGGGTTGTGGCTAGCATTCACAGTTGGAGCGACCCAGAGGAAGGGACCAGCAGCAGGGCTGCTGCCTTTCTGGACGTTAGAGGCAGAAGTGATCCAAAAGATGTCAGCATGTTTGGCTCTGGCTGGACGGCCTTGGCTCCAGAGGAGGGTAGAAGGTGGAATCTCGGACACGGCTTCGACTACCTGGCGTGGCTTGCGGACTAGTTGCAGAGCTGCAGGCGATGCGGACGTTGTTCGGAAGTCTTGACGGAAAGCGCTCGCGTCAAAGAGGCCCCGAGCGGCCTTCTCAACACGCGGCGAAGGCGCTACCCACAGCGAACAACTGGTTGTCGCTCTGGGGTACACGTTTTTGACAGCCTCAATGATGGAAGACTGGCCGCCATTTATGTCCTCAAGCTTAGCTTTGTCGACTGCTTGTGGCATGGAAGCGGCGAGAACCCATATCTGTTCAGACTCGGTCTGAAGAGGCGCCGTCCAAAGACTCGAAGACGTTAGGAGCTCGACCGGACGCTCCTCTGCAGAGCGTGGCTTTCGACGAAGCCCTTTTGCGACAGGTTCTGCCGTTGTTGTACGGTACTCCGAGCGGACATGGCTTGGGCTATACAGACCATGTGATTTTTCGGTCATGACTGTGACCATTGCAGTCCACAATGGCTCTATCGGGGAACTGGCTGATCTTGAAGTAGGTGCAGAAGCGAGCTTTGGGGCAGCCCACAATATTGATGCTGGGGCCTTGACAGGAGAGCTCGGTGAGGACCATAGTTGCGTGCTTTGGATCACCGCGGCTTCAACTGTCTCGGGCTTACTGCGCAGAAGAGGTTCCGTCGTTGACAGGTAACGTTCCCATGTTGCATCGTCCACCTCCGGCAGCCCCAGTTCTCGGGAGACAGCAGGTCCCTCCCAAGTCTCGGTCCAGAGGCCTGTAGCCCGAGGTAGAGAAGGCGACTCGTCGCCATCAAGTGCGATCGAGATTGAGTCGTAGCTAATGTTGGAGTCATACTGGTTATCGAACGGGCGCTTATCAATGTCTTCTTCGAACCCGAGCGGCTCAAAGAAGAATTCCTCAATTGTGGGCTGAGGCTCTGGGTGTGGCTGCGGCAGGAGGCTGTTCTTCGATGGGACCTGGTCCGATTTGAGGAGGCTGGCAATCTCCCAGAGGGTGCTTTCGTCAAAGTCCACATCGTCGTCATTGTCGTCGTCGCTCCCCTCTTGGTTGTAAGCACTGCCATCCTCATCATACTCGGGCACCGCCTCTTCCACGTCCTCGTCGTCCTCTTGATAGTCATAATCATCGTCACTGGAGGAATCCATGTCATCCTCCTCATCATAGTCGTCGAAGAAAGAAGCAGAGTACTCCTCAGCCTCCAGTTGCTTCGCACGTGCCTCTAGAACAGCTTGAATGGCAGGTCCTCCGCTTGACATGGTCCCTGGCATGGCCGTGAACATAGTGGGCCGCATTTGGATGGTAGCTGTATCGGATCGCTCACCCCAAGGAAACTGAAAAATACCGAGAGTGCCACGCTTGTTGGGCATCTCTTTGGGACTTTCTATAATGTCCGGCAGAAGGGTGACATGTTTGTTCTTTCTGGGCGGACGCTGCGTGACCGGCCGGGGTTTGACTTGTTGGGCGGCGAGAACGGGGAGAGGGGATCCTCGCCAGAGACCAACCGTTACCGAGTGTGGCTTCGCGGCGAAAGAGTTGCGACGGTTCCACAAGCGAGTGCTCTCAATCTCCAGGGTGCCCGTGGTCTTGCGGACAGCAGGACGGATTGAAAGACAAGGAAGGTCCTCCGGGGCGACAGGTGCCCTGACCCGTTCGTGCGCAACCCATAAGTGGTTGCTGATAAACGCAGGGGCTTCAGGTGGTGTCGGTTTCCACAACTTCGCGCAAGGTGCGTTTTTTCTTGACAACACCGCTTTGGCACGGCTGTGGAAGTCACGCCCTTCATCTGCAGACTCATCGGTATCCGGTGGGGTAGGGCTACCGAGATGAGCCTTTGGCATAGACACCGACAGGAAGTTGAGAAACGGCTTCGTTGTGGTGAGATCGGCAGCATTCTCTGCATACTCATACTCGGCATCCGCAAGTTTCTGCTGCCATCGGCTTTGCGGACGACTCTCTCCAGCAGTTGAAGTTGTGTCGCTAATACTGTCCCTAGAAGGCCTTACTGAGCTCTGGAGACGAGCACGTCTAGAGGCACGTCGATCTGCCGCAATCGAGGATGACTGTGAGTGTCTGGACTGGGTTCCCCTGCTGATCTTCTCAACCTCGGATTGTCGACTTGACCTGGTTTCAGCAGTCGAAACGGAATCTCTGCTAAATCCATTCTGCATATCGTGCCACTGAGATTCTTGTTGACCCATTTCCTGTTCCAGTCTTTCGAGTAGACGCAGCCTCTCACTTTCGTCTTGCATTGGGTCCCTATCCATCTCCTCAAGTTGTTTCAGCTGTTGCTGAATGACTTTGTAGGCCTCCTGCGGAGAATCTAGTGGAGATGGTTCAGCAGCTACCAGGACCGAATTCTTGCTGGTAGAGTTCAGAAGCAGCGGTGTTGGCGGAGGCATTCTCCGCGACACCACCCTCTCCTTTCTGGTTGAAAATGTGGTACACTGCTCGCCCAAACGATGATGCCACCGGTGATTCAAGTCATTCGAGCTATCCGGGTACTGTTGGTCGTCGAACCACGAGGCTGTAGCTATGCTCATGTCATGCTCCATCGATGAATCGAGCATAATCGTCATGACCTCTTTACCGTCGTTCTGTTCAAGCATGGAGACGTTTCGCGGTTCTTGCCCAGAGTCAGGGTTCTGGATGTAGGTCGACACGGGAACTTGTCTAGCCTGCTTGATGTTGACGGCCGCAACGGGCGAGTGGATGGAACCCCAGTTTGTCGTCGTCTCCTCGTCACGAGTGCGGGCATCACTGATCACTGACATTCTGGCGCCAGTGACCGGAATCACGGGGGATGACCGACGTCTTGCTCCATCATGCGACACCTCGGACAGCGGCCTCTCCGGCATGATAGGAATCCAGGAGTCATGGACGTCATCTGCCGCTACTCTTTCTGTGGTTGTGTAAGTATCAACGCTGAACTTGGAGGTGTAGCGGGTGTCAGGCTTGTGCACAGGCTCATCCTCAATCTCGAAAATGCTCCGGGTTTGAAGCGATGTCCGCTGCGAGGAAGCGATGGACCTTTTGGAGAGAGCCCGCCGTGCAACTTCCGCACCCGATCTTTCGTCGGTGGACTTGAGCTTCTCCGTGGCGTAGGCGGCAGGTAGGGGGGGCAAGTCAGGAATCGAGCCCCTCAGACCATTGACGGTAGCGTTAGCGCTTTGTGGCGCTCCAGGGAAGAAAAGGTCCATCTTCTCGTCAAAGGTCATGCTTCGTGTGTCATTTGGCAGCGGTCGCAAAGGCTGTCCTGCACTCTTGGTAAGGGCGGTAGGGCGGCAACTGGTCGGGCTACCGGTGTCGATCGTAAGA